TAATACATAAAAGTTAAAAGTTATTGTCTACGGAAAGTGTGAGAATGTTTAATTAAATAAATGTGCGTGTGCGCCACATAACAACGAAAGTGACAACACACCTATCTCGTAAACGTTCTATAACAGATAACTACCAGGTAAATGGATCGCGAATTGATATCAACAGAATTTCCTAGACTTATTAAGAAATATAATATAGGTAATAATAATAATTTTTATTCATGCCAAAATACATATAGGGTACAAAATTTTTACAGCTGTTAAATTTATGTGACAAATGTACTGTAAATTTATTTTTTTATTTTTTACATAAGGCAGTAGTCATATATTGAAAAAGTACAACTGTCAGATAAAACTTTTTTGCATTTGGAGTGGGGTAAGTGGTGATACAGGAGAAGGCTATTTATTTTATGATATAATTAAGTTCCAAGAAAGACAAAAAATCTTTTAGTAAACGCATAATTAATCTTAGGCAGACATTTCTGTTGTTTCTGTTGGCGTTGTAGGTAAGTGGTGTTATAGCATGTACATGTAAAAGTGTATTCATTATAAAAAGTTGCCGTACAGTCATAACTTTACAGCTTACGTAAAGCTCATTAGTTGGAAACATAATAGGCCTGAAAGTGCTCACTTTTAAGATCAGACGTTGTATCCTTTGAAGCAGTAAAGTTCTGTTTTGAAGGTTCCTCCCCATGCGGTAATTCAATAGGTACTAATGCTCGGCATAGGGCAAAGACGAAGTTTTCTAAAAATGTAAATTAATTTTCTAATACTAGAAGTAAGTGTGTAAATTTGGATTTTAATCAATGATAATTCCAAGGTAGTTAGTGTTGTGTATCTTATGATGTTTTCGCCTTCAAACCAGCTTTAGACCAATCAGCAACCCTTTAAACCTAATAGGAGAAAAAAAAACCTAAAAACGTGATGTTAAACGTCGACACAAAAACTGCAATTAATCATACATTTCACACAAACAAAAATTCGTTCCATACTATTTTGTCGTATCCTGGAATCGACCAGAATTAGTTTCGGCCGAGTTTCCAGGCGTCATCTGGAAGCGTCTCATTAGAGGTGCGCCGCGGCAAAAAATATGTTCGAATCGAGACAACAATAAGGCGCATGACTCGCCGCTCCGCGATCAATTATTAATAAAAAAGCGGGCCGCTTCATTGAAAGGGCGATTAGCTCAATATTTATATGGAATATTCGGTATCAACGGCGCTTTGTGCTCATAATTCGGTGGGTCGTGACGAGGCGCGTTTGACTCGGCCGCCCAACGCATAGACCAACTGCTGCCTGGCATAGACACGTTATTAGCTATTACAATTTTGTATTAAAATTAATTCTTAATTAATCATTATTGACACTAATAATCTGCGTACATTAAATTTTATGTGTTTACGGGAAGGAAGAATACAAATAATTTTATATGAAACCCTAATGACGCGCATTCGCTCCGCTTTGGTGTTTTGTAGACTGTAGGTGTTATTTCTGGGCATGTAGTCCTTCCGTGAAAAACTGCAATACGTCTGGGCATTGGGACTGGGGCTAACCACTTAGCAAGCTTTTAGCAAGCTTTTAGCAATCAACGAAACTGTTTGTTGTATTGCCTCAGACTAGACAAATGCTTTGGTTATAAGCTTAAGGAAGAACCGATATAGGTATGTTTTGTTGTCAGGTAGATCATATGCTGGCGTATCACACGTCTTATCAAATAAAAAGAATACTAATGAAAATCAATTAATCGAATTTTATCCCGATTTCTTGACAATTTTATAAAAATTTCATGAGGTACCTATCCAACGTTAGCTTTTTACTGAATACTTTTTATTATTCTATACCGATGTCTGTTAAATATACTTAACTAAAATAGAGAATTTCCTCTCAAGACAACACTGAAGTTAGGCACAAAACAGCATAAATCACGTTAATCTTTGCACTGGAGGCGCGCGGCCACCGCGCTCGACTCATACTTATTGTACTACCGAATTGACTTCAACTCTGAAAGAGTCTCGTCGTGAAAGCAGACAGACTAAAGCAATAGCTAGCGGCATGAATTTGTTTAATCTGATACGATTCCGCGCACATCAATCACGGCACGTACCTACCCACTTGTTCGTGGCGAAATTAATATCGTGATGGACGGAATTTTTGACTGATAGCAATAGCTGACGGTCTGTCACACCATTAGACACAATCTACAACGCTAAATCTATTTTCAGTACGCACTCACCTAATCCAATAATTCAATTTGATATTCGGAGGCGACTTTTTTTGAGAATTGCATGCGGCGGCGGCGGCACGCCGCGTCTTGCTGGACTCACCAGATTTAAATAGTCTTTTGTGAGACACATGCCAGTCGATTTGATTATAAACTTTCGTCGTTAATCTGATACCTATGTATAAGACTTACGCAGTGCCGTACTCAGACAGTTGATGCTGTCACTTTCCGTTCGAAAACAAACAAAATAACCATGAAAAAATAAAACTCTCCATAGCACAGAAGAGATCGAGCCAATTTCGCCGGCCGATCGCACGATTCACATATATTCCATCAAGATCTTCTATCGCTTTACAAATCTTATCAAAGATGAACTCTTACTTAGATTTCTAATACGCAAGGCTTGGATGTAGAAAGACCTTTCTGCGTGTTTTCCCCCTGGCTGAAATAAGCTTAGGTGTCTAAAGGGGAACAATTCCGCCTTATATGTTTTTTGTGTTAATTTTACCGTTTACGCAGCGCATGCATAGGAGACAAGAGTAAGTGGGCATTTACTGTCTGCGTGTTACATTAAGGCCCGTATTACAGAATAACAACTAAGTGTTGATCTTCACTTGAGTACAGTTAGAAAGGGATATGCTATATACAGCGACATCCCTTTCTAACTATGCTCAAGACTAGATCAATCACTGAGAATCTTTCTATAATACGGGCCTAAGTCTCTATTCTCGCTTTCTACCGACGAAATCGAAGACCGCAACCCTATATAATACAGAATGGTGCCCTGAAAACGTTCTATATTCAAATTATTATATTATGCCAGAAATGACTGATCATCGAATCATTGAACAGACAGAACTAAACGCGATCATTGGCCGAGCGATTTTTCAGGCAGTCGTTGGTAATGAACGGGCCATTTTCACGAGCTTTGGCGCCGCCCGCCATGCAAATGTGCGAGGTAATGACGCGCGAAGTTGTACCATACAACTATAGGGATAACACACGATGTTGTATTGTAAACAAGGTATACTTAATAGCATAAATTACATTATATTCGTATTTATTTAGATAATTCACGGGACTTTTCCTTGTCGGACAAATTCGGAGATTTCACTTTATAGGTAAACGACTTCATAGCCCTTAATTACCTTCCATGAATGTCGAACGAATTTTGTGTAAATTATTCAATTTCTGTATGTATCATAAAGTGTGTATGTGTCATGTCACAAGTTTAACAAAATTATGACAATGGTTATAATGTGCTTAGACAAAAAAAATAATTTCTTCATATTTTTTATGTGAAACCTGTATTGCAGCGGGTGTTGGGTGACGACGCTCAATGGCAAGTACCTACAAGCTTAAGCAGTGAGCTCTGTATATAAAGAGGTCTGCATTTGTGGAATGCCCAGTTGGTGTAATGTCACTCTGGGACTGCCGCAAGTAAAGATTTAGATTCCATTCCAAGGAGCCTTTAATAACTTCTACTTTTTAAAATTTTCTCAACATATTTACTTGTCCTTTGCTTTTTTCTTTAAAAAATAGTTCTGTTTTGATGTAGCATTATGGCTAGGTGTCCTACAAAGACAAACTTTTCTTCTTCTTTAAATCAGTATGCAACTATAACCTTCTCTTTAAACCAATACATTTTCAAACACAATAATTATGTGGCGCTTTTTTATATACCTACATGTTTACCTAGCCCTAACACTCTTTGACCTCGACATGAGTCAGAGGACTAAAGACTCTTTAATAGCTGCGCGATGAAGTCATCCAAGAGAAAAGGGCGAAGAATAGAGCATGAAAGCGCCTCACAATACTCTTTTAATTTGTCATTATGCAGCAATAAAAACATTGTGAATGAGAAGGGACAAAAAACTCGTTCGGAGTCTGACAAAAACTGCGGGCTAGGGCGAATTTCGCAAATCATCCCGCCATTAATGACGGACGCTTGAAAAAAATTTAAATATCAAAAGGCCGGACGGAGCAAAGTAATGGTTTAAAATCATTTTTCATTCGAACCACTCGTGAGTCAGAACGGTAGCCATCGAGATGAGCTTCCATTAGCTGGGAGATTAGTGTTTTGGACCGGGTCCATCTCATTCTGGCTGAACCTCCTTCCAACTGAGATTGGTTACCTCTAGGGAATACAATACCGCGATCCCGCATATATTTTGCGGGACTAATCTTACTCTAAAAATTTACGGGATCCCGGTGGACTGGCGGGATTACAAAAAAACGTGATTTATACTATTTGTGCGACGCGAGTGGACAAAAGTTCAGTGTTTTATTGAATTTTTCATATTTCGCTTCGGTCTTGCTATTTGACCTTTGACCTTCATCTCAGGCAATCCGTTCAGAACTTAAGAATATTTCAATAATATTGTATTTAATTTGTGTCACAATTAGGACCATGAAAAAGAAATATATTGTGTCTTTATTGCAAATGAATTCATAAGTTTAAATCACCCTTTTTGTTTCCTAGGTTTTCACGCACATCACTCATTAATATAAAACGATTTTTACGGGTTATATGCACTGAATTTATTTATCTGACGTTTCGCAGCCTTTGCCGGACTGCGTCTTCAGAAATAGAATTAAGAATTATTTTTCACCCTGCTGATCCCGCTAATACCATGATAGATATTATCTTGCGGGATTGCATTCCTTAGTTACCTCCTTCAATCTGCCGCTAATGAAACAACATCGTAAATAAAAGTAAAGTCATTTTATTAACAATCAATAATGTTTTTGCTTTAGGTAAGTATATCTGTGCAGGGAATCATTTGTTTTTCCTCTTTTTCTGTTTCTGGATTCTTTCCAAGGGCGGCAGGCCGCTGTCGTACTCGCTGGCTGTGTGCATAGAACTTTGTTTGTTCGTTACGTTGCTTCCGTAACCACCGATCTTCATCCTCGGAAAGCTGAACAAATTAAAAAAGTTCGCTCTGTTATCAAAATTTATTTTTACTGCACCAACAGTAGCCGCAGACAAAAAGACCAATGAAACGAAATAAGTATTAAACGAATATTAGACAATTGTAGTAGTCTTAAAAACAATCAAACATACATATATTAAAAATATAATATTAATTATTGGCGTAGACTACCAAGTCGTGTAAAATTACGGAAAATTTAAAACAATCACAAAATCAAATTCTTTTATTTGTTGACTCAAATTTTATTTGTAAGCTAATTTGGCTATAAACATACCTAAGATGTCTTAAATAAGTGTCAAAGAATATAACATATTTTTAAAGTGAAACTTCTTTACGCACTCTTGACTTGGGGGGTAATGCGTTACGCGTTACGAAAACTGTTTTCGGCCGAGCGAACGGGAGTCGACTGGGGGTTATAAGCAAGAGAAAGCAGTGCGCGTGCACATTTTTTTTCTCTTATAGCTAGTATATGAAATATGTATATACATGTATATATTGTACATATATATATATACACACATACAGATGGAAGAAAGATACTAAAGAAGTTTCGCTTCAGTCGTGTTGTCATAAGCACACTCGTGATTTTTATATACAGATATATAGAACATAAAAACGTACGAATAGTTTTACATCAGTGTATATTTCAGATATTTTTTTAATCATGGATTTTGTTAGAAGAGGTGCAAGCACGAACTTTGACAGATCAGTATCGGCATCGTAATTTTTTATATGGAAGAATAACTTTGCTCTTACGTCCGCTAGGGGCGCTGCTGAGTTTTCATAGAAACTTTGACGGTGCGATTACAGAGCTGACAAAGTTCGCGCTTGGACAACTAAATAGAAGTGAAAATCCGTAAAAAACTCACCCCGGCCGTTTCTTCTCTTCTTCTCTGTGTACGGTGAGTCTGTTCGTCGGCTTTTCCTTCACGCTGGGCAAATTCTTGACCCTCCTCGCTAAAACGGCCGGCGTATCTCGCAAGGCAAACGCCTTCGCCGCGTGTCCGAGATGAAGTTTGCGCGCATCCAACCATTCGCGCACTTCTCGAGGGTAGCCCGAATAAAACCGAACCCATGATGTGTAAGCTGGAATGTCAAAGAAACACCGATGCCCCACTGTAAGAATGGCTCTTACAATAATCCCGTGCTGCACTGGGAAGAAAAACTCTTGGGTTTTTTTTTACAATATTCGGTTTAATAAGGACCGTATAATCAACTTTTGCAATGGCCGGTTCTATAATAGTCGACCAATAATATATCGCACCTCCGGTGCGACACTATCATTTATGAAAAAAAAATATTTTTGCAGGAGAAGCGTTTATAACATTAACATCCCAAAACATACAATATTTAAAGTGTTTTTTTTTTTATTTTTTTTTAGATGAATAGCTAAGTAGTAAAAGCTTTTCATGACGTAAAAATCTTTAAATATTGTATGTTTTGGGATATTAAAGTTTTAAACGCTCATCCTGAAAAAAAATGTTTTTGCATAAGTGACAGTGTCGCACCGGAGGTGCGATATTATCTCGAGGTCCTTCTTGTGTCGGAGGTGAAGATTGCGCGCGTTCAACCATTCGCGCACTTCGCAAGGGTAGTCCGTGTAAAACCGAACCCTTGATGTGTAAGCTAGAATGTCAAAGCAACGACAACCTTACTATAAGAGAGGCTATTGAAATATTTACATTAGACTCATGCTGTGCTGCGAGGGAAAAATCTTTAAGCACTGTAACGTACCTACAGTTTAGTCTTTGTACAAACGGTCGGAACGCAAGACAAACCTACGCCCCTTGCGAGTTAGGTGGTGGTTTAAGCATAAGTACTTATTTAATTTGGCAAAATATAGACTATATTGTGCTGCTTTTGATTCAGTCTCAATCAAAGCGAAAATATTTTACGGTGACAAATTTGTAATGGTGACTTTTTAATTAAGATTTAGAAGCTAAATTGTTCACCGTTGGTCCTGGATATATTAATGTCTTTGGCAAAAATTCTCAAGTGGACCACGTTCCAAACTTCCTCTTCTTCATCTCTTCCGTACAAAGGCCGTGCCTCAGCATAATGATGAAATATTTCAGATTGTTTTTATTAGCAACATTAATTTAGATGAGAAATATTAAGACTTGATTAATAGAGATATAGATAGATTATGGGTGGGTAAGACTGTTTTAGTCTTACCTCTTGACAGAGATATACATAGATTATGGGTATAAAACTTTTACCCCTCAATAGAAACACAGATAGATTATAAGTAAAGAGCTTACCTCTGCTAGCTCTTGCGAGCCACTCCTTGGAGCTGTGGGCGGTATGTTCTAACCGCGTTTGCACTGCGATGGCCGCCCGCGCCGCGTTAGCCGCAGCGGGCGCGACGCTACGAAGCGGCTCCAAAGCTTTCGACTCGTCTGCCTGACACAATCTGATCGAAAGGAGTACTGATATTGCATCTACTGATTGCCCCTTATTAATAAACCAATAATAAGCTTAGTTTGGTAACGCCATATTATATATCACTTAAATGCCATTTGTAATTTAATTAACAGAACCAAAACATGGAGTAAGTAATCCAAGCTTATTCTTCGTATATTACTAAGCGGGTTTGTGTGTACACTATCTCTTTTGGCAAATAGTTCTTCCCTCTTTTCCGCTTTTATTTGAATCCAAAATCCAAATAGAATCGAATACGAGCAGAAGACAATTTAAACATGTTATAATTGTGGACTTGTTTTATTACATACCTACCAACCAGTAATGTAAATTATGAAAATTCTTTTTTTTTTAAATAAGTTTAAAAATGGGTGATAATGTATCGTATCCAATAACAGGTGGTGCAAATAGACAAGTAGATACTGACACGACAATTTGTATCTAAGAAAGTGCATACCGAAATTTCTGCACAAATAAATTAGCTGTACCAATTAAAAGCTCCGCAAAATCTTTGTGTACGCTTCTGCAATAAAGTCCTTAGCAATATCCAAACATTAAGTGTCAATAAATTTAAAACTATCATTAAAATAGTTGTTATTAATAAAGCCTATTATTAAGTGTCTAATTCTATTTCAGACAAAAATGCTTGGGTTTAAACTGTTCCAAACGTTCCGGTAGGCTTTTTCTATAATTATGATGAAGATGAAATTATTTTGTATTGACACCGTAACAATATAATATTTTGCAAATATTATTACATAATTATTAACGCTGTGAAGCCAGTTTTTCTCCACAGCTAAAAATGTCCTGGACTGGTGGTAGGGGAAAATAATATAGACGATTCAAAAGAGTTGTAGTTTGCATCCAATTTGAAGAAAGATATTTTGACTTTTGAATCGGAGCACCTGGCAAGGCAAGTAGAAATAATTATATTGACTCACAAAGTATAGGATTTTTATTATACATATTCATTTCGTATTACCTGATTCGCCGTTGTTCCAAGTGCCTCACGAATTCAGCCTCACTAGGCAGCAAGAACATCACTGCGGCGCCAACTTGAGTAGCACGCCCCGTCCGACCCACTCTTTAAACAAATTAACCCTTAACTGGTATCGGGGGTCAAATGTTACCCCAGGACATAAAAGTTTTCATCATATGTATAACTTTATACTTTTACACCTAAAACTCCTGTGCCTCAAGGTAATCTCTAGAAGATTCTTTTTTTGTAAATGAGACTATATAAGAAAACCATACATAAAAGTGTTTTAGGGGATTTCTATTTTTATTTATTTTTTATTTTGGGGTTTATAAACTTCCTCCCTTTCGAAAAATATGTCAAAAGATATGTAGTTACTTCATTAAAAATAAAATATAACTTGTAAACTTTAACAATTGCTATTAGCTACTTAGATTAATAATAGATTGTTTAAATAAAAGGGAAATAATTAAAATAAATTAATTGAATTTCAATCCACATGCATAAAATCCGTATGAGGTCACTTTTTACCCCCGATACCGGTTGCGTTGCCTTTGTTTGAAAAAATAAAACAAAAACAAGACAAATATTATGAATCTACCTGTGAACATAATCGGTAGCAGAAACTGGTGCACAGTATTGTAGCACCATGTCTACTGCTGGCACGTCCAGGCCGCGAGCTGCCACATCCTAACAGAAACCAAAGCGAAACATTGTGAACCCTGCTGTCCAATCCAATAAAGACCATAAGTTTAAAGTATGTATAAAAACATGTCTCCTTAAGAAAGGTTACTATACTGTTAAAGATTTTATAAATGATAAGGCACCTTGGGCTTAATATAGCAGACTAAGTCGTTTTACTTTGCTAATTTGGTTGAAAATTGTTTAATCGCCACTTCTAAATTTAAAAATAGTACCTAGCTATAATAATTAACTTATTGTTAATTAATAATATTAATGTGATGAAAGTTGACATCAACACATGTTTTCAATTTTTGATGTCATCTTTCAATTAACGACACTGTATGAAACAAGACAGGGTGAAAAAAATAGCCCTTGCTGAGTTTCTTGCTAGTTCTTCTCAGTACAAGGTCTCCCGCTGTAGATTTACGAACCGATGGCGTAGCGTTTGACTTTCACAAGAGCTTGTAACAGCCTAGACTGAATATGTGAGTTTGAATTTGAAAGTGAAAAAATACAATATATCTAATACTGATATCATGAAAATCTACATCATACTAATATTTTAAATTTGAAAGTTTGTATGTTTGTTACTCAATCACGATAAACTAATGAACGAATTTTGATGAAAATTGGTGCACATAATACTTTATGACCTAAATTGAGACATAGGATACTTTTCATCCCGGAAATGTGTCAGGTTCCCGAGGACTTTTAAAACTAAATTTTACGCGGACGAAGTCGCGGGCGACCGCTAACACCATATTTAAATTCTTATAGCAAAGTATGTTATTTACCGGCTACCATGTACTTTGTTTTAGCGAGTTAACATAAATAACTTTAATATTATTGCCCATGCAAAGTTTAAAGCATTATATAAATTCACTCCATATCAAGTATTCCAGAGGAAACCTATGGTCAGAAATTCGATCTTTTCTAATTCATTAAATATCATCTGTAGGACGCCTACTGCTGAGCATAGGCCTCCCCAAAGGATCTCCACATAGATCGGTTCTGCGCTATTCGTAACTAGAGGCTGGAGTACAAGAAATTACATATCTGTCAAAATTCGTACTTGGACCGCAGCCGGCTTCCCCGAGACATTAACTAGCGAAGTGGTCTTCGCATAATTCAATATCCTTGTGGATATTGATGTATGTACTATTAACGGTACATACCTACGTAAAGCTTAGTAAATCAAAAACTTTTTACTGTACTACTTCTTGTACATATTTCAATAGCAAAAGCAATAATTCTCATGCAACGCATTCTACAAATCAAATAACTGTATAGGTAAGTTTTTATGAGACAACAATTATTATATTAACCGTACATTTCGGATTAATAGAAAACGCTTAAAGCAGTTTTTCATTCATCTATGTTACGTGAGCCAATCAAATGTTATTTATAAGAAAATTGCTGGTAGGAGCGTGGCATTTTGGGCATAGATGGAATTCTTCATAATCTTACAAAATTCGTATCTAATACTACACTCCATTACTTTACATAATCAGCTTTGTCCTTTAACTCCATAGTGTAGATGATAATTAGAAAGAATCCAACAGCCTGACTGGACTAAAAAGTCTAGGTCAATAATGATACTTACACGATTTCGGTAAAAGCGACAAACAGGCAATCATAAGTTACTTATCATATGTATAGGAATCATAATTAAAGAAAAACATTATTGAAAAACAACACAGAATCCAATAAACGTATCGAAAACGTGCTGATTTCATACTCCTTAATCTTGATCTTAGCATTCGACACGGCCTTATTGATTACGTTTATGAATATAGGAAGTCTCGCATTGAACGTGTATTAAATATTACATTAATACGAGGTGTACCGTAATGGCGGATTATATGAAAGCACAGGAGCTCCATTGGGCAATGATTATGCCGCGATAGTCGGTAGCGACCGCCCGCCGCGCAAGAGATTGGTGCGTCCGTTCCGACTTTATTAACTCTCGTCTCGTGTAAAGGACGACCGGATTGCCGTTTTCGATCCAATTGAGCCTTCTATGCCAACACTTATCTCAATGCTTCAACTTTACTAAATTAAATTAATACTCATCAAAAAAGAGATAAGATGTACCCCTTTACAGTTTAGTATATCAATTGAATAAACATACACACAATTTTGTAACGGTCACTGTTTTTTTATAATTTGCGTACGTTATTTTTTATTTATTTCCGTGTTCTGTTTTATAAACATAATAATGCAAAGCTAACTTGTACCTAAAAATAAAATACTTACTTCTTTTTTCAAGAAAAATACTCAAGTAACTTGGTTCATGGCAGTTTTATGTGATGAAAGTTTTATTTTAATGCATAATTACCTAGGCAACCTACTCATAGTAACATTATACATATATACCTTGAGAATGGTGGCAATAATGATCTAAATTTTAAATTATCACGAATATAATCTTGTATATTACACTACGATGCACCTGCAGCGGGCACTTTTATGGTTGCTCACAATAAAGGTGAAGCACAATTTAAAAACTCATGGCAATTTTCGATTAAAACCGGAATTATTAAATAAAATACAAAGGTCGTCTCACGGGTTTCTCACACGGAGGGAAAGTATGTTAAAGAAAACATCATTTTATTTCTAACAATAACTAGAATGCATTCACAGTTTTTTTTTTAAATCGCCTGCTATAAATGGGAATCAAACACGAAAAATTTAAAAAAAAAACACTTCACGCCGTCGAAGGGGTTAATCCTAAGGATTATTTTTTCCTAAATAACATAGCATTTTAAATAAAAGGAAGATCATGAAATAACAATTTTGTTCAGGAAAATTTCCTCTTACTTTTCCGTGCTTCCAATAGCTAATGTTATCATTGCAAAGCATTTACTAACTAGTAATTAGCTGCTCACTTATTAATACAGGATTTCCTTACTATAAGTACGTGAAAAATAAAGAATACTTATACAAACCTAGCACCGTTTCTTGTCTTTTAATTGTAGTTTGTGTTCAATTATTAAAAACAAATTTCGTGACTTTTCTTTCATTTAAAATGCTATATTATTTAGGAAAAAATAATCCTCATGATTTACCCTTTCTTCGGTTATCATAAAATACATGTGTTTTTTTTTGTTTCACATTTCACGAGTTGGAACATCGCCTGCCAAAACCGAGAATCAAGGTTTTGGCAGGCGATTTTTTTTAAACTGTGAATGCAGTTCTACTTATTATTAAAAATAAAATGATGTCTTCCTTCAGTAAAATATGCTATCTTCAATATTTAATATACTTTCCCTCCGTGTGACAAACCCGTGGGACGCCCTGTATATAGGTACTTTTAAAAACGCTTACGAGTATGTAATTTATGTCATTCAATATTGTTAATTATCGAAAGCATTTCCATTGTGGTTTCCAAGTTGTAAAAAAGTGCTTAGCGCAAATCCCGTTAATACCAAATTGGGGACATTCGATGGTCATTGTTTATTACCGATACATTTGTCTTTTTTTATTGTGTCACATCTTAGATGTTCCAACCCGTACCGGATTTTATTAAATAGTATCTACTTATTTGCGTATCAAAAGAATAAATAAATACCTTTCAAATCAGTTATGGTCACTTACTGTTGCAAAAAGTTTTACTGTGTGAGCTTTTGGTTAACAGATGAAATGTGTCTCTAAAATTTTATTTTCAAGTTTTTTAAGTAACAATTGATATACAACAATTCAACTTATTTATATTCTAAATAAAATTCTGAATGATCTTTAGGTGAAAAACGCTAACTGCTTCTAACTTGCGCATTTCACATAGGGTTTTTTTTATTAAATCGTGCTCATAAGAGTAGCTAATCAAAACCGCGTAGTCAGCAGCTTTCAGATCATTATCCTCACCAAAATAAAACATTTGGATAATGCACGGCGGCGGCATTACATTACGAGCGACCGTTTGTGCAACTAGTGTTATGAATAACTTTTGTATTACGTATATGGAAAAATCATTTGGAACAAAATATTGTTTATTTTTTACTATACTAAAAGCGGATGACTGCAATCAATATCGACGTATATTTGGTATTTTCAAAGACGAGATAAATTAACTTTCATCATTTCACGGATTGAATACAACAATAGTGCAAATCTTTGACATAGATGTTCTTCAAATTACAAGTGAAATTGTGTCATAATTGGACTCGATTTCATGGCAAATGTACAGTGTAAGCCTCGCCTATAAAGTATAAACGACGAAATTTCTTTTTGTCATTACCACACCGCTACACAAACTTCACAATCATTCATAAGTGACTGAATAGAATTCTTGAAAGGCTCATGTGAAAGCGTTTAATTGTGTCTCGAGAAGAGTACGGGAGCTGCCGTGTCGGCGCTTACAGATGTAATAAATACGGATAATAGTGTTTAATCGAGGCCTATTGTGTTGGAAGCTGTGGGAGCCGACAGAGGCCAAACGAATGACCAACTAATAACTCCGTTCCAACAACAATTAACTACCGTCGAAAGGTGAGCGCTGCGGGTCTGCTTTGTTGCTGGATTACGAATGTCTGTAGGTGGCATGAATCTCATGAATTTCTTCACATTAGATAAAAGCTATTGTAGCAATGCACTATGTATGATTAATCTCGAATTACATGTTGCGTGTTTAATACGTTTAGAATAATCAAAATTGTTATTTATGATAGTTGGAACAAATAGACAGAATACAGAACGTTACTTACTTTCTAATAAAAGAGGGCCATAAACATTATTCTACTGCGTATATTTAAGTGTGTTTTGAAAGTTAAGTCCATGCAGTTCTTCTATTGGTACGGTTATTTTATCACCGATCTCTTCCTTGGACAAACATTAAAAATTGCGGGCGTAAAACTAATATTCAAAATTTAACGTAACTATCCGTCCGTAGGCTAATAAAACATTGGAATATTAATATTATTACACACTACACCTGATGATAACTGGCGATAGAGTTCAGATATGAAAATAGCTGGTGCAACAATTTTACCTGCCATACCAATCGTAAGAAGGAGTACTCGTGAGCGGGCAAAACATTTAATTTACGACAAAGAAATACCATAAAATCCAACTTATTGGCTATAACTTTGTAATTAATAAATAAATACGCCACTTACAGTGCATATAAGAACTCCGTTTCGCGCCGCTCTGAATTGTTTGAATACTTCTATCCTCCGCTCGTGCGGCATAGAACCATGAAGACTGAACATTTCTAAATTCACAGGCACCAACCCTCCTTCAACGGGCTCTTCGTAATCGATATTATAGTCCGATTCTGTACTATCCGAATCAGATTCTTCCTATAGAATCACAAATTTCACAAATCGTTAGAAACGTAGCTGAAAATATACAATATAAAACTAAAGCAACATTTTTTTTTTATAAATTTGTAAGATAAAAGCCATAAAATTTAGATGATGAGCTCACATTTTCCGCTTTGTTCGTTTTTCTTTTTTTATCAATCGACTTTTTCCCTTTTGCATCTTTTTTTTTAACCTTAACTTTATCTCCCGTCAATACAGTTTCGATTAACTCTGAATGGTAATCGACCATTTCCAATGTGGCCATGAAGACTATTATCTTTCCTCCTTTTTTCTTAAGGACGCAATTTTCCACAATCAAAGAACAAAGGGTAACTAATCTTAATTTCATTGGCACTATGAGGAATGTTTGGTTTACGCTTTCTGGCAAAATTAACTCATCTTCCACCAAAGCTGTATGTACTGCTTTCTGAAAAGTACTTTCTTTAACCAAAGGTTCTAAATCTTTTTCAACTACTTCTGTTGCAGGTTTCTTCGATTCAAACTGTTTCTGGACTTTAAAGTAATCATAATCTGAGTCACTATCACTGTTTTCAGTATTATTTGCCATAGGTACTGGTTTAGGGATTTCTTCTTTAACTTTCACATCAAATAAATCTAGATGACTTAACCCACTGAATTCGACTAAACCTATAAAATGAAAATCAGTTGGAATCTAGCTGCAAAATAAACTATACACAAATATATAAGATATAAAAAATTGCATAGGTACCCCTCTTATTGTTCTTTTTTTCAGTTTTATTTACATTTTTTTCTTTTACCATTGGAGCATCTTCAATAATACATTTCTTTTCAGGCACTTCGTTTAATTTTTCGGATACTTTTTTACCACCAATATGGTCATATTTTAATGAGTCTGCTACAACAGCCCTACCTTCAGAAGTATCTACAAATACAGGATCCACCATGGTAATTCCAGCTAAATTTTCAACAGCCTACAGAAAATAGATTATTATGAATATTTAATTTGATGAAATTATTCATCATTACAATCAACAAAATTCTGGGTAACTGACCTTGGTGAGAGTTGCTGATAAAAGTATAGTCTGTCTTTCTTTTGACAAGAATACTTCTGTTAATTTATGTTTTATATCACTTTTCTGTTCTTCTGATACTGATGAACCTGAGACACAATCCTTAGTTTCATCTTCAGTGTTTTGTTTCATATTTTGTTTAACAAGGGCTAATGGATCATAAGTTGCTGCCTTTTTGTGATCTTCTATAGCCTTTACAATAGCTGCAACATCTATTTCATAACCCATATCCAATAACATATCAGCTTCATCTAATATTAAACATCTAAAATATAATTCATTTTATAATGGTGATTTACAAAATTTAACCTCTGAATTTAACTAATAATAATATTATTGTAAATATTAACAAAACCCGATCAATGTCAATTTTAGTATTGTTGAAACATGACATGGGAATGATATTTATACAAATCATGATGCAGTACCTTAAATGCTCTGTCAACTCTACAATACGGCAGGGCTGCATATAAGTTAAAAGGTGATAAAAAAAATTTAGCTAATTTTGAAAAAGTTGAGCCATGACAGAGGGGCAAGAGTCAAAAGAAAATAAGTGAGTTTCTGAATAAAATTTGGGACATAACAAAGAGGTTAATAATCCAAAGTAAGAAAATGAAGTGTTTCTGCATACAATTTGGGTCTTATGGCCCTGTTATCAGGGTGCGTAACAAGAGTTCAAAAAAAGAAAATGAGGAGAGCGTCTGAATAAAAGTGAGGCCATAACAGGGAGGGAGATCAAGAGTCATATGAGGAACATCAGGCGTTTCTGAATAAAATTTGGACCATAATATAGAGGTTAAGATTCCAAAGAAAGAAAATGAGGTGCTTCTCTGGATAAAAGTTGGACCATAACAGGGAGGGAGGTCAAGAGTCCAAAGCAAGAAACTGAGATAAGTCTGAATAAAATTTGGACTATAACAGGGACGGAGGGAGTTAAGAGTTCAAACAAAGAAAATGAGGTGTCTCTTCAATAAAAGTTGGGCCATAATAAGGAGGGAGTTACGAGTCCATGGAGAGAAAATGAGGAGTCTCTGAATAAAAATTGGGCCATGCCATAACAGAAGGTCCCAAAGAATAAAAATTAGGTGAGACCCTGATTAAAAGTTTGTATAACTTAAGCTTATAACAAGATGTTTATTAAAGTTAAACCAGATCCGAAAATAATGCTGTCACCATTGTTTGCTAAGAAGAATACATACACTATATAATGCTGTAAATTTAAATCAAGTATAACTTAAGCCCACATTGGCAGCAAGATTAAATGAGTCTAAATAATATTTTTTTACCAGGAACCTAACTTACCCAGTTTTAGCAAAGTTTAAGGATTGGGTATGTCGTAAATGGTCATTAATTCTACCCGGTGTACCAATCAATATATTGAGTCCTTTTCTTAGTCTTGCCTTCTCAGCTTTTCTTTTCTGCCCACCACTTAAAAGACCAGGTACAAGCCAAGTGAATGGCTAAAAATAATTGAGACCTCATAAATAAGTGTACATGGAATTAATTATAAAAAAACACATATATAATTTATAATAAAAAATATAATCAATTTATATCATATTGAAAGTAATCTACTTTTTCAGATTTCAAAGTCAAAGGAATGAGATGGGAAGAAAACAGAAGTCAGTTGTGCGTGCCATGAAACCTGAAAACTTGTGTCTTGTCTCCGTTAAAAAGGATTTGAATAATTTATGAGCTAAATATAAAGGCATTTTCAAGAAGGGTAAGAATAAGTTTACCAATGCGTGCAAACAACAACAGTTTTTTTGATGGTTAAATAAACAGAGCATTTGAACAGACAGCAAAAGATGGCATTTCAATCTATCAAACTTATTTACCATTCATTAATTTTTATAAGCCACATTTTATATATATAATATTTACCAATAAATTACCCCACCAATAATGTACATAATGGTCAGTGCATTCCGCCGGATAGCAAAGGGTGTGCGAAGTAAACTTTTCTTTAGATTTAAACATCTAGCAGTTAAATGCTTAAAAAAAATACAAATTAGGGGGCATCCATAAATTACATGTGTTTTTTGGAATTTTCGGTCCCTCCCTCCCCCCTTGGTGAGATGTCGTGAGATTCGCTTCGTGCTTTTATTTATATAGTTAAGACAAGTAATCAATATTGCTGAGAGTTATAAGTGTAATAAAAATTTAACAATATAATACTTAAATCGTAACTACTGTGATTAAAAAAAGAATATCTACTCTAATTCTGTCCATGGAGAATCATGCGCGGTTTCAAGAGAGACTATTGGAACCAACATGTCCATATGATTTTCAGTAAAATCATCTGCACTTTCAACTTCGTTCTGATCTTGCTTGGGCACAGTAACTCATTAGCTCGACTTTGACAATCTGTGAGTGTCGCACTTCGCAGAACATACTCGCTTGCTTTGTTGGTGCAATGCAGGCTTCTCGTCTGTGCTCTGCAACTCTTGTGATAGATGCAAAGTAAATACCACATGTACTGCAGCATCTTTTCTCTAAATCATCACATACACTTGGGCAATAGAGATTATATCTGGATTAAATGGACCAAAATAGTATATGATTTTTGTTTAAATCAGAAAAAAAATGCGTGATATCTGCCGAGACCCCCCCTCTCTCCAATGTAAGATTAGATGAGATTTGACTCAACTCCCTCCCCTCCTTAAACATCTCACATAATTAATGGGCGCCCCCTTACCCCACCCTTTGACATCTTATAATTGAAATAAAACACATTTAAATGGTTTTAATATTTTACATATTCCGTAAAAGTAAAGTATTAAAAGTGTTTTATATAACGATTGTTGTGGGTTAAAACATAAGAAATTAATCTTTTAATGATTTATATAAATAACACAAGTCAACAAAATGAAAAAAAAATTTTGAGTCTTATTTAATGACTATTGTCTAATTGTTTATATCGAAAAATAACCAGAAACCTCATTTTTATTTTAAAAAGTTTGCTTTTGTACTTTATACAATGATAAATAAATATGTATGACTTTTGTAAAAGGCTGAGGATCTACCGCTTTTAATAAGTAAAAGAAAGGAGTGCAGAAGGATATTAGGTATGGAATAGGAAGCAGTAGAGCAATCACTCAGTGCATGTACACACCTTTTATCGAAACGACGTATTTTGTAAATGCCTAGAGCGGTAAATGCCTTCCAAAATGAGTAAAAACTATGTGGACCCTGTTAGCTTTATTTGCGGAGATTTTTTTTAAAATTTAGAGTCATAACAATGGTTTAACCTGTAGTTAAAGACTTAATTAAACATATGAAGCAAATTTTCACTTCCTATTTGACTTCAGGATAAAATATGGGCGCCTCATGACGATATACAAAATTTCCAAGTTATTATTGTTTACTTTACTACCAGCAGCACATTCAGAGTGTCAGAAAAAGAATTACAATATTTAGTGTGATATACTTTTATTCATTAGGGACCCTATTATTATATTATGTCTCAGTTGCATGAAAAAATTCTTTATTGAAGGGAAACGACGTATTTTGTGAGTCTTGAGCGGTAAAATGTCTTCCCAAAAGGAGTAAAAACTACGTGAACTCTGTTTGACTTATTTCCGGAGATTTTATTAAAAGGGTCAAAAAATGTTGTTTATCCAGTAGTAAAAGGCATAGTTAAGCATATGAAGCTTACTTTAACTTTCTATTTGAAGTCAGGATAAAATATGGGCGTCACATGAGGATATACTTAATTTCCATGGTATTTTATTTACTTCAGAAAATTTTCAGACTAAAAATTATAAAATATGCTAAAAATATCAATTTTTAAAACTAAATCAATCTATTTTTTGTATTCATAGACTTGGTTTATTTGTCTAAAGTAAATAAAAGAGTTTTAAATGAATATTTTAATGATTATTTTCTTGTTACATACAACTTGAACAAAAAAGATTGCAATTTTCCATGAAATTTAAAATTTCATTCTGATAGCTACAAAAGCAAACTTTTTTAAATAAAAATATTGTTTCTTATATTAATTAGGTATAAGAAATCAAAATCTGGTACAAAGAACTCAGACTCAAAAATCGTGTTGACTGGTGTAATATTTATCCAAGTTAATTTTTTCTTTTAATTTTAAATCTAACAATTAATTCCTTAAAAAAAATATAATCAAATTCTGGTGAAATGTTGAACACCATGAATCCCACTTACCTTCACAAGTTTCACAAATAATTCATAAGTCTGTACTGCGAGTTCTCTTGTTGGCACCACAACAACAACTCTAACACCATCATGCCTGTTGATCTTAGGCCGAATTGCTTGCAAGCCCTCTATAACTGGTAATGCATAAGCCAGAGTTTTACCCGATCCTGTCTGTGACCTGTAACAATATACATAATGTTAGAAAAAGTTGTCTGTAGTGACAATGCCTCTTATAAAATAATTCAAAAACAAATTGTTTGTGAACAATTAACTGAAGATATCTATCTAGATATCTGAAGATAAATAAGATCATTATCTTATCTTATTTTAAATTACATTGTAAAAATCTCATAATACCTAATCAACACATCACGTCCCTGTAATATCACTGGCACCGCCTTTTGCTGTACAGTCATCAATTCTTTCAGAGACAAGTTCTGTTGTAAATTTGCTACACTGTGGGGATGAATATCTAAATCTGCAAAAGTAGTACCGGCAAACACTTTTTCCACTAAAGGTTTCACAGCTTTTTGTCCAATTTTAGGTACATCAGGATTATTTTTGAATAATGAAGATATCCATGCTCCGCTCCTTGGTTTTTGTTTAATCTGAAGTTCATCATTTATCTCCTGATAATCTTTCCCATGATATTTTCCTTTATTTTCACTCAGATCTAGTAATCTTGCGTCTAAATTAATGGTATTTTTTTCTGGTTTTGACAGTTTGGCAAATTTTCTTTGTGGCCCATCTAATTTAATGTTTTTTCCAGATAGGTTTTGTGGACGTTTTCTAGCTAATGTTTTTCCAGTTAGCTGTGGTTTTGATACAAATTTGTATTCATCTAAGCTCTTAGCAGGACCAGGTTTCGGTTTTATCTGCAGAAAAAGAATAAGCAAGAGTAAAATGTTAATAATTGTTACAAATCAGTTTAGGCTTTCATAGGACATTAAGGTAACTACTTACTTTTTTAGTAACTGATATATTTAATTGTAAATCGTCCATTTCTCTAAATTGTGTACAATTTCACGCAGAAATTGAGGTTATCTCCGCCGAGAAATACAAACGCACATTGTATGTCACTGTCATATTGACGTTAGCGTATCTCTTGCGATGACATAATGGACACGTTCAACGTTCAAAAAAAACGACAAATTTAACTATAACAACGTAAGTACTTAAAAACATCGAATTGTAACCAAATCTCAAACCTCAAACATATAATGATATGTTTTACTTCTCTCTTTCAAATAAAAGTATATTTCCCACACCCACTTCAACTAATATCCCAAAGATAGGCACTGTAGGTAACCTACTATGATAGAGTAACGGATAGAAATTCATTAATGAAACACAATCAAGACCACTTTCCTAGATCACACCACTCCACCAGGGAGATATTCAAATATATTTTTTGATTTAAAGAAACTTCTATTTAGCTCAGATCTCATTTTGAGTTTCCACTTTTGGCCAAAAAATGCTTCAAAATGCAAAAAAGCTATCAATTTATAACAAGTTTATTCAAACAACTAACGGCCGCTCGCGACTTCGCCCGCGTTATTTTTAGTTTTTTTGAGAATCTCTCAGGAACCACACATTTTTCGGGATCAAAAGTATCCTATGTCTCAATTCCAGGTAATTAACTTTGTGTGCCAAAAATTTTATCTAAAATCGTTCAGATTTTCGAAGTGAAAACTTTTTTAGCGGCGTTGTACACTTTTTTTTGTATGGGTAAAAAATGTTAAACTCGCGTCAGGTTGTGGGCACGTGGGCTGATCGCATCATGACATAATAAAATTGAAAAAGTTGTTGACTTTCAATATATTGGACAAAACATAGTAATATTTTATTTTTCCGTACTATATTAATAAGTCTCTATCTAGGACGTCCACGTGGCAGCTTTATTGCCAAGAAATGCAGTTTTTTACAATAGGTGTCGCTAGGTGCGCTTAAATCTGATTCATGTAAATTGATTTCTTTAGAATAGATGTCGCTAAGTGCGCTTAAACGTGATTCATGTAAGTTGATTTTTCTGAGAGATAATCTTTTTTAATGTATATAAATTGTCATGTTTGTGTACGATTGCGCAATAAATAAATATTGACCACCTACCACATACACGATAGTACTTTTATACTGATAATTAAAGCAATTCGTGGAAAATTATTCCCTAACCATTCCAAAATATCAAAAATGCACAACGTTAATATTCAAGTTTTCACTTCTGACGGAACTCCCGGAGTGCAACCCGTCGTTTTTTTTTTGCGTAATTGACAAACTCACATTTAAAATAAGTATTAATACGATTTTTGACGTTGTTTAATATGTTTTAAGTTTATTCAGTCTTTAAATGACTACTTACGACGAATTGATAAAGTTTGCCTCAAGCTTACGTGCAAAGGATAAAACTCAGCAAGAATTCAGAAATAACATATCAAGAGACCGATTCGTAAAAAAGAGGGTTCGGGCAGAAAACTATACACAGAACCGCGAGATAACCGCTTTTTGGTGAGAATCCAAAAAAAACTGACGATTTTGGAATCTTCTAAAGAGAATCTCTTCTACAGTGTTAAACACAAAACATACCTACTAAAAGAAGAGCCATTTTTATATTTATTTATCTTCTAAATACCTACACACATCGAAAACAAATTAAACTTTCTCTCACACTATAATAATAGTTTGTCGGCAGAGTTCTTGTAAAAATAAAATTACTAAATGTGTGTAAAAGAAAATAATATGAAGTAGAAATTAGCTTTTAGGACATTTAGGAGACTGTAAATGGCAACAGTAAGTGTGGCAGGAGTGATACCCATGGACTCTGATTGTTTTTTATAAAGTATTGCTTTCCGATGAGACTTATACTTAACTCTTTATGTGATAGAGGTCGACGCCAGCGAGTATTAACAAGACTAATGGAAAGCTATGCCGAATTGCCGACGTATGCTTAGAAGAAATCACTCCATCACAGATCACATCCGTTTAGTATGTTTATTATGTCAAAAGGGATTTAGGACGAAACTATGAGCGGTGCGTGACACACATCTGGGGTGAAGCCATTATCAAGCGGGGAATAAACCCCAGTATTACGTTTTCACGGCAAAAATGTCGCCATTCCTTCGCAGGGGAAGAGAGGGCAGAGGAAACAACATTGGTGCTACAGAGGAATATTGCCATGCTGCGTATAGTAGTTGGCTCTGAATTGAATCCAAAAAGGACTACATTGAAACCTTGATCAAAACGAAAAGATTCAGGAAATATCGGAGTCTTAAACGGTGGCGGTTTTTTCACGTCCAGTCGTTTTTCCACCCACATCAGAGAGGAACCTAACTAACAACCAACTATGTGGCATAATTGAACGCTTTCTCTGGACTACAACATGGCAAGTGTTCCGAGGAGTTGTTATCCCTTATCCTACCTTTCCCTTTCCTTTAGAAGACCACGCGCACTGGCTTACGTTGCCTCCAGCTTTCTGTGACTACGCTTCCTACTTTGGTGACTCATTTCTTTGTCATCGAATTCTCTGCCTGTGCACACCAGTGGGTGTGTCTGGGTTCCTTTAAAAGAGGCGTGAGGAAGTATTTGTGCAGGCAACTGCATGCATCAGCTATCATCGTGCCTGGACTTTACCATTACATAACATCCGGAGAAATTGATTATGCTTACCTTTTTTTCAAAATGTTTATCACCTTTACTGTTTAGTATGAAGTATAGATAGAATATATTATTTAAAGAACCGTTTTGCAAAGCGAAGCTATATTGCCAGTCTGTAACTATGACTATGGTCAATATTTTTTAGGTTTTTCTACAATTTAAACGAGGATTTTAAATCTGGTGGCATTGCATTTAAAGAGTGCGAGGCCGTGGGCGAGTTACCACTCTGGCTACGCCTAGCTATGAAAAAAATTGGAGACTCATCAGTAGAAGTAGCCTCCATTTTAATTGAGACTACAGTGAAATAAAGCTAGCCGTTTGGTGTTGTGTTTCTGTCGGCGAATAAGCTTCCAGGGCTCCACGGGGTTGGGGATGGGGTAGAGTGGATAGCGGCTCAAAGATATCCGTGAAATATATAAAAAAGATAATAATATTCATTACCTACATTATCTATCCATAAGTTGATCCAAAGTCTAAAATGCCACATAATTTCACGATAGATAAGTAAAAAAATTTTTTTTTTTTTTTTTAATAATGAGGCGATTTAGACCAAATTTTTTGAGGATTTGGTTTTTTTAGCTTTCATTTTGAAGAAGGTAAGTAGGTAGATACATGCCTATGTTGTGCTTAACCACGAGACGTTCACCCGCAACTTCAACATTTACCCCCACTGGGATTCACACCTGGGATCTTTGAGTAGGCGATACCTTGAAACACGCTGGGTTTCAAGGTGTTATTAAGGGTTAAAATCCCGAGTTACCATACCGGTGGGGGTAAATGTTAGTATGATATGAATAAGAAGAGTATTTGTACCTTAGTCATTGCCCTAAAGCGGCCCATTGGTTCTTACTTGCTATTAGTTAGTTTAACCATGGGTAAGCTCTAGATATTTTCATAGAATAGGTGATCAGGGACAGGGAGGATGTATAATCTCTCGGGCGAACCACATAGTTTAATAGCAGTCGAACGTCACTTACAGATAAGTTCGTTTGACTTTCAATTATTAGAGCAATAGCATAAGAATCAATAGCTTAAGAAGAGCTGAAGAACTTTCACTTCAGTCGTGTGGTCATAAGCACACTCGTTTTTTGTTTCTAGAGATTTTTAGTGTTCCTAATTCTTGTGAGTTGTTATTAATATAAAATTTTTATTTCATTGATTTTAATTAAGTGCAATTGGAGGGAATAAAACTACTTTTCTTTCGTGATTATTTAGAGTTTTTTCTTAAAATTTTATTGCTTATTATAAGCAATTTATGTCTTCTTTGAAAGCCTGGAGAAGACTCGAGGATTCGTCCTCGAGAACGAAAATAGTTGGAGAAATCAGAAACCCTACGGGTTTCCTAAAGGTTAGGTTCCGTAGTTCCACATCATCATTCAACCATGCGACGCGACGCCCAATAAATAAATATTTCCAACACTCACACCAATTAGCCTAGCCCCAAAGTAAGCACTATAAGGCTTGTATTATGGGATGCTAGGGTAACGGATAGAATACATATACTGTACATATATAAGTATATTTATATAAATACATATTAAACATCCATGACTGGAGTACAAATGCTCGTATTCATCACACAAACATCTGCCCTCACCGGGATTCGAACCCGGGACCTCTCGAATCGGCGACAACGTGAAACCCGGCATACAAACCACTCGGTCACGGAGGTCGTCAATAATGCTGCCCAATGCTGTGTATAAGCCTCCTCCAAAGATTTCCACATTGATCGGACCTAAGCTATCCGCATACAGCGGTTTCTCGCGACCTTCAATAGATCGTCGGTCCACCTGGTCGGGGACTACCAACTAAGCGTCATCCGGTGCGTGCTCTCTACTCAATAAATCTTAGAACACAAGAAGGAGCCAAGGGACTTTGAATCATATAAAATGCATATTATTCTTTAAAGATTTCCACGTTGATCGGACCTAAGCTATCCGCCTACAGCGGTTTCTCGCGACCTTCAATAGATCGTTGGTCCACCTGGTCGGAAACTACCGCCTAAGCGTCATCCGGTGCATGCTTTCGACTCAATAACCTTAGATCACAACAAGGAACCAAGGGACTTTGAATCATATAAAATGCATATTATTCTTTAGTTATCACCTCAAGTAGTTTTATCCAAGTCTATCAATCAGTTGCATTAAGGGTAAATAAGAACATAATCATAATAAGAACATAGTCCAATACATAAAATTCTTGTGTCACTTAGGTGTGCGAAATTGAACTACTCCGAAACGGCTCTCCCGATTTTCGTGAAATTGTATATGCATATAGAGTAGGTCTGAGAATCGGACAACATCAATTTTTCATCCCCCTATATGTTAAGGGTCCACCTTTAGGTTTTCTTTTTGACATTTTTTTTTATTTTGTTCACCCTTCTACCTCCAACCCCTATTTTTTATGGCGGTACGAAGTTCGCTGGGACAGCCAGTAAGTGTATAATGTTTACTTTCTTTAACCTTCCCTAATCTGTTTATTGCTTATGTTTCGCTAAATGAACCTATTCAGAGCATAATTATTGAGGGGCTTGGGGCCCTATAAACAAGGTTTTACACATTACAAATATTTATTCCACCCCATAAGCATCATCGAGCGGTGTTTGCACGCCACGTGGCGGCACGTGATCCTTGTGTATAGGACACGTGCTTTTGAATGATTCTGCCTTCACCATGGGATCAAAAAGGATCATTGCCAAACATACTCATGTTGCAGCAGTGTATTCTTACAAAATCGTCTCTGTCTACGTTGAAAATGCATATCTAACGATGAAATCAATAAATAATACCGCCACTTTACAGAACACATGAGAACTACAGTGCTATTCTGTAAAAACTAACCTTTTCACCGAGGAATTTGTTGAAATTGAATTAGAGGTGATTTGAATTTATTTGAAATCAGTGGTGTAATTTTTTAATCAAACCGCGGATTCCTAAGTGAAAAGTTCGTCTGTTCTTACAAAATAGCACTGCTGAGGTCTGATATGTGGAAAGTAATCTGCAAACTATGTTTCAGTCCTTTGAGTAAGATTGCTAGATTTTCACGTGAATAGTAGGTGGGTGGGTAGGTAGGTAGGTCATGACAACCCCCCTGGGCTGGGTCCATCTGTTGTACCCACTTAACAATCTGTACCCACTGTGACTTGACCACGATTACATGACCCCCCCTGGTGCCAAAGCTGGATTCCGCCCTTGGGTGGAGTCCTCTTTATCCCACATCTCCATCCTTTAAAGAAAATTTAAGTTCATTTTTCTGTTTAAGTTGATACAAAGTCCTGTGAACGTGAACTCTATGCCATCGGTTGTCCTTGTAACTGAGAAGAACCGGCAAGAAACTCAACGAGGGCTATTATTTTCATGGTATATAAACTCGAGTAGAAATTAATTTAACAAACATACCTACCTAATAATGAACCAGATTGCTATGATCTTTTAATTGGGGCCGGATATACAATATCGAACGAATTTGTTTTATTCATGGATTGAAAAATCAGCCCTGATTTAAATTATCTGATTCTATGAATTTAGCTGGTGGACGAAGTTTTTTACAGATTCTAAGGTCCATGATAAGGGCCATTAATCATAAGTATATCTCGGTTAGTCCATGCTGTTGCCTACAGTTTGACTTTATTATGACTTTAAATGTCATTAAACTTATCGTGATCGAGACAGCTAATAGTACATACCTTGCAAATTTTATTAATGTAAATAAAATCATGGCATTGAAACCAACGACGTGCAAAGAAGCAATCGCTCGTTGGGAAAAGTTAAAAGGAGAAGTGGCCGCGGAGGCCACCGTGATAGAATTGCAGTTCCAATGGCCGCCAATCGAAAAGATGGACGGCGCTCTATCCACACTCGTTGCTTGCGAGTAAGTCGGTCGACAAGATTTCAAATAAAAGCCAAAAGACATTAGGAACATTTTGCCCCAGCTTATCTAAAAGTAGCTGACACAAACGAAATCTATTTCAAAGGATAGAAACAATTATCTACTTTATCCCGTGCTTTATCCCTGTTCAATTTTTATTTCTGTAACCTATGGGAATGCTGAGAAAATGTGGTTTGTGAAGCCTGTAAGGTTCTTATGGCCAAAGGTGTAACCACGGGTGTGTAAGTCTCTGACATAACCCTGCAACCGGCTGTAGAATTTCACATGCGCCCCCCCTTGCCTAAGAGGATACAAAAATAATCAGCATTACTAGCCTATTAATGTCTCCACTGCTGGAGCACAGGTTTTCCCTATGCAGCTATTGATGGAATAGGAAGATTAGGCCATGACCCACCACGCAGGCCCAATGCGGATTGGTGGGTGCTAATGACTGCTGATGCAGCCGGGACCAACAGTATAAAGTGCCTTCCGAAGCACGGAGGATCTCGATTGAATAAGTTTTGGTCACCCATCCAATGGCCGATCATCGCAAAAGTTGCTTAACATTCACGATCGCAGGCCGAACGCGCTATCAACCTGCGCCATCGAACTCCAGTATAAAAATCCTCCTCTAAATAAAGAGTTTGTGCGGTTTGTATGTTTTGATGTTGTTCTCGTTATATCTCATTATTCCCGTGGGTCACAAAAATGCGCTAAAGGTCAACATATCTAGAGGTATAAAACTTTAAAATAGAATTCCTCCTAGACAGTGGCGGCGCTAGACCACATGTGGACGTCGGCGACATCAAGTTCGCGAGGCCTATTTTAATTCGCAGTAAAAAACCGTTAAATTAAGTGAGCCAAATTATAAAATAACGTATGTGTAAACGAGTTTTCTTGTTGATAATGAAATGATGACAAAAAATAATTACAAACATAGAAATTTAATTACAAAAATAGTGCTGCCAGACAGACGAGTCTGAATACCCGTAAAGTACTACTCGCTTCCATCACGCACGTGTTCGATAATAATAAAAGTCAATATCATCTGCTTAGCTTTTCCCCGGAATTGTTCGGGGTCGGCTACCTAAGCCAGGCCAGGAGAAACGAAAATAAATAGGTAACTTGTAAAAAATTTTTGCGAGGCCTCCTGAGGCGCGAGGCCGTCGGCGGTGGCCGACGTCGCCGACGCCTAGCGCCGCCACTGCTCCTAGAAGTCCTCCTACCACCTCAACTGTAATGACAAAATTAACATATCTTACCCACTTGTATTATATAGAATATACTCCATTTTCCCAATCCATTGCTGTTATAGAAAGTTAAGTTTGTCCTCGAACATGATTGACAAGATCGCTGGCATAGCTGGTATGAGGAGCCTGAAAATCCTGTCGCTGGGGAGAAACTATATAAAATCATTGTCTGGAATCGTAAGTGCTATTAGAAATTCGTACTAAGAGTGAATATCCGTCTGCTCGACCACTCCTATCGGTCCCGATTTTTTAATAATTCTCTACATAAAACTTAATTTTACAACAGCCTCTCCTTTTCATTCTCTGTAGTCACGATAAAGGAAACAAATCTGTAGAACATGAATTAAGAGGGGAGGAAGTAATCACCACCTTACAGAAGATCACAGTATAATAACACTACTTTTGGTGGTGTTGAGTTTCTCTCGGTGAGTAAGTTCCAGGGCTCCACGGGGTAGGCGATTGGGTCAGGGTAGGCAACGCTTCAAATGTCTATGAATAGGCTATGGTGCCCATTCATCAGGAGAGGCATACGCTAGTTTGCCACCATTTTAACATGAAAAAAACTATTGTCAAATTAAGTTTTAGGTTTAATGTATCGTATATGCCAGTCAGGACTATACTTTTCTATCTTATGTCGCTTGCCTCCCATCTAATATCAGCCAAAGTGAGACTGAACTTGACTGCGTTTACAGTGTAGGGAGAGAAAAACTATACCTATAGGTACTTAACAAAGTTGTGAACGATCGACGCCTTAAGAAAAAGTCACTCTATTCATTGCCATAGCTCGAATCAATGTTTTCCTGGAACCCTATAGATAGTGTAATTTGGCAATTCGCGCTGAATTAGGTACCTTACGAAAAAGCTAGAGTTTTTTATACCCAATGCACTTTTTTGGCGACCTCCATAGCTCAAGTGGTATGTACGCTTTTTATTTTTATTTATTTTTATGTTTTCAATGTGTCGCCTACTCAGATATCCCGGATTCGAATCTAAGTGGGGCAAATGTTTACGGTATGTGATAAATACGAGCATTTGTACTTGAGTCATGGATGTCTATATGAATTTCTTTGTTAAAAATATACTTATGTATTCTATCCGTGATGGTCAGCCTCCACGCTCCGTCTTGCCTGCGCAGTCCAAACTGTACAGCCATATCATGACTGCACAACAAGACGGAGCAACTTATAGTGGCCACAAGTGCAGGTAAGCTCGTATCATAGACTGCGCAAACCTCATTTTATTTTAAGAACTCCTTTCGTCAGGATGTGGCAAACAAAAGTATTTTTTTAAGGGAGCATTGTTTTATTGTTTGCTGATAAAAAAGCTATGAACAAACACAAACATTCTAACATAACTTTTATTATATTAAAATTTACAACGTGTGTCTTTATAATTTAGCCGGACTGGAGTGCCGCTTGAATGACCGGGCACACGCTGCAGGCAAAACCGTGCAAGCCAAGTGTGCGCAGTCCACTCTTTAGCATATCAACGATCGCACAAGCCGCGATTCTGGGCCTGCGCGAGCTACTGTCTGGCCGTCCACAGTCACGCTCTTAACTGCGCAAACTGTTTACGCAGGCATGCTCGCAGGCAAGACGGAGCGTGTAGCCGGGCCCTTGCCCTTATAATATCCCATAACACAAGCCTCACAGTCAACGATATGAAATAAAGATACACCACTTGCGCTTAAAATATGTCCCAACCAAGAAGTGCTTGAACACGACTCAAGCACTTCTTGGGTCTCAGTGACGCGTGGGCTGTTGAAAAGTCAAGATGCCGCAGTGCTCCGTGAAATAATGCGAAATAAATACTCATAGTACGTAAAGTGTCTTTTTTGACAGGATCTAATCAATGTTTGTTAATTATTAAACGCATTTGAAGCAATTTTTGTTCTAATACTTACTACAAACTGATTTAATAGAAAATATTAGCGATATTCAAATGTATAATTATATAGCCGTCTCTTTTCGTCGCGGTCCGTACCTGCTATATTGCTAAAAGCGCATTCAGAATTGCGCGTAGAATCAAAGAAATAAGGTCTTTGTTCTTCCGCATATAGCAAATAAGTCGTCAAGTTTTACGAGCTTGCATTTCGAACTGTCATAACTCTTTGAAGCAAGTGTTTTAATTAAGACCTTATACAGTATGCATTTAACGTGGCTTTCAATGTTTAAATAATGCCTTAAATTGTTTTTAACTACACGATCATCTTACGGAGCTCCGTGGATCGTTAGATGTACCTTTTGGACAGGTTTCGGCCACAATTTTGTTCGTGATGTTGTTTCTAGGGTATTTAATATCGTTTGCTCACAGTGCTTAATTTGTGCTAGGCTAATCGTTGTGTGTGTTAGAATTACATATAGATATATCAGAATATCAGTAAAATGAGTTTGTACTTAATCGCATAAAATGAAGAGATGGGTCACGACCCCGTTTTCCATTTATTCTGATACCTGTGCCCTAACAGTGGCGATATTAATAGACTGATGACGAATCGCATAAAAAAGCCTTTAAAATCCTCACAATTCATTTAGTGATTAATATATTTTCGTATTTACATTTTTAAGGAAACAGTGGCAGACACTCTCGAAGAACTGTGGATCAGTTACAACCCAATTGACAAGTTGAAAGGAGTCGGAGCACTTAAAAACCTTCGTGTTCTTTACATGTCAAACAACATGATAAAGGAATGGGTTGAATTCAACAGATTACAGGTAACTATTGCATTTAAAAAAAAATAAGAACTTGATACCTGTGTAGACAATAATGAAACAATATTTCCAATAGACATTGTACATTCTTAGATGATATTGGTATGCATAGTACGCACTTTTTGGGCAATAGTCGCATGCACGTACCCCTTCTTGTCATCTAGTTTACAGGGTGCTCGCACTTTAGTGTCGAACCACACGTAACGTATCTGAGACTACGTATAGTTATCTACCTACAGCTATTAAAGCCCATCCATAGTACAAGCGCCCAAAGATTTAGCAATTATTGTGTAAACTTCGAAATTTCTTATAACCATGAAATATATGATGGCCTTTTGAATCCACAGGAATGCACATCTCTCAGAGATTTGGTCTTCATTGGCAATCCTCTGTGCGATAACCAGCCCGATGTTGACACTTGGCGGACTCAAGCCTCTAATCGTCTCCAACAAATAACGAAGCTCGATGGTATCCCCATTGTTAGAGAAACATAATTTAACTATACAATTAAGTACCTACCTACATGGTTCCAATAAAATAATCGATACAAATCAAAAGCTACTTACTCATTTAAATAATTTTATATGATTGTCAGAACATTTTCGTAATAAGTCAATTAACCAAATGCCTTGTAAGTACCTACTATCTATATAAGAGTTCCTGGAATATAAATTCAGTATTACTTTGATTGCGTGACACTTGCTGTAACAATGGTTAATAGTAGTCCACTTGCTTAGGATACAAATTACCTACGATAATACCCGAAATAATAACGCCGTCGCATCGAGTGCTTGCTTGACATTTATGACAGATTATGACACTGGCAACACTAATAACTACCACACACGCCATCTATCTATTAGATGACGCAACTAACACATGACAGCACTAAGATTGAATTTCATTAATCGATTAATGATTGCAAGGGAAAGATTGAAGATTATAGTCCAATTGTGATATCCATTATGCGTTAAGGGCAGATTAAAGAAAAATAAAATTATGATCAGGCGATCATGTTATTTTTCTAACATATTATTTAAATTTCAAAACTTTGGATCCTGCTTATTGTTAAGAATCAAGTTTCCGGTACCTAAAGCTACCAAAGTCCTGTATTAAAACTATAAGTTTAGATATTTTTTTTTTACTTGTTTTTAAGTAAAGACTTAGAGTGTGTTATACTTTCTAATTATAACCATTGATATACCTACAGTGATAATTATAGTGCACGAATAACCCTTTTTAACTTTTGTTTGGACTATAAGTATTGAAAACAATAGTAATCCTTAATGATTAAATAAATAAAACTTACGTGTAGTTATACCGAGGCTACTGACAAGTTCGACGAAACTTGTTTTTTTCTGGTAGCACTCTTTTGTGATTTTTCCTAAGGATAAGAAACACCTACCTTCCCTACTGCCTGATTCACGTACCTACCCTGATTTACAAGTAACTTTTCATACATTTTGAAAACTTATAAAACAAATAAGGCCTATAGTGCAGAAAAGTCTTTTAAAATATGTTTACATCAAAAATACTTTGCACACGCATAGACGACAGTTCTACAACTCGGGAAACTGTGCACGAGCGATCCGCTCGAGCTCATAGCGTCAGTAGGAGCAGTACTTTGTGAAGGACGAGCTTTTCATAGCGCGTTATTAATATGTTGTAATCTTTAACGAATTTCAATACGTTATTCTTTGAAGTTTTGTTTCATGTAATGTATACGGATCATAATATAACTAATCAAAAAGTTGACAATTACTTAAAATTTAACTTTTTAGAATATGCGAATTAAATACTACCTATAACTTTTATGAAGTATAGTGTACTATATATATAAAGCCTACTTTTATAAAAGGCCTTATTTTTATCAAATATATCTATCAAAATATATTAATTTTAATAAAATATTTACTATTGGAAAATGAATATATTTTAATAATTTGCTAATTTTTGTTTCTATGGAAATGTTTTTTAATATTATTCTTTATCTCTCGTTAATATGCGACTTCAAATCTGACTAGCAATTTAAGCAAAATATTTAGTAAAATAAATTTGAATGTTGTTCAACGATCGCATGGAAACACTTGATTAAAGGCTCAGAAATACATATTTAAATATAATTTATACTGTAATAACAATATTCCTTTAATTTATGTACATAGGCTTTGTTAAGTCACTAAGTTTTTCAAAGGCTTAAGGTTAAGGTTCCAGAATTAGCTCTTTTTAAGTGTTTTCTGATAATAGATTGTAATATGTTTTCTTAATTACTTAAAATTTATGAACCAAGGAATTATGCTTTGGTTTTATTTATCACCTTTTTCGAATAATTTATCATGATATGAGTATTTTAATCAAGTACGCCTTATTTGTATCACTTACCTTACATAAATATAAAAATAGAAAATACAATCAATATTTTCTGTATGTTTGGAAACTATCGCTTTAGATATGTAGGTACTTTGATATGTACCCATGAACCAGCCAATAGGTACCAAATAGGGGATCGATTTCAGGTGCCGCCACTCCACACATACCAAAGATTTTCTTTGAGAATAATACTTACGCTTTCATTCATTCACTTATTCTATTGCAAATCGTTGTAACATGCATGTGAATGGACCTCTATTGTGCGTCCGGCTTTATGATTCGTCATACGTCTCAAAGGCGACTTAATAGCCTGCTTAATTCGTGGCAAAAGGAAATGCGGAATAGTGGGGGGACACCATTACGGGAAAGTCCCTCTCTCAATAGACGCGCGGATAGCCCTATTGTGTTGCCACTAATAAAATTTAATGATGTAAACGGATAGCGCGAATTTATCTAACTCCAGAGCATTTGGGGAGACGTCTCTGAGGGGAAATCAATTAAACACATTGTACTTGTAGAGCAAATTGAGTTACAACTTTAGTATGTTACACGATATTGTTGTGAGATTACCAAGATTTGATACTTATGTACTTAATACCAATTGAGTATAGTTTATACTTGGTATTTGGTATTGGTTACGGCCTCTTTGCTTATGTGATGCCTAAGGCTGGCAGTTATATTATTATTATGCCCACAGTACTTACTTGAAAAAAAAACAATATTCTACTTATATCTGATCCTTTAGTTATAGGTATATCATGAAGTGTTATAGCTTCAAAGGTAAATTGCACCTACCTAGGTACGTCGTAAGTATAATAAAAATAAAGGTAAATTTATCGACGACTATCTTATTGTTTGGTTTCGAAAAATACCTACCTAGGTGCTTATTTCGTAGCAATAGTATATTCAATAAGTTAATGGAAAGCCAGTCACTGTGTACTCTACGTAATGGACCGATAATTGTCCACCTAAACAGAAGTAACTGTGTTAATCACAATGTCGCTCGCACCTACCCCGCTCATAATACAGAATACAGCACACCCCCTCGGTAATGCGCACACATGCCGTGGTGGCACCGATACCACTATTATTTAATTATTAACATTTCAGTCGACCTAATTTTGATTTCTATTTGACGCTTCGATTGTGTGACACACGTCGCGTCGCCTGAGGCGATCGGCCATTTTGAGACATCTGTCCTCGAATATGTTACCAACTATAAAATTCAATTTCCCCAATCGGCTAACTCGGCACATTTATTATTCATAGACCAGTACTGACGCCCGGCCACTAACAGATGTGATCTTTTACGTGAAGTGATATCAAAAGATGACGTTCCTATATAAAGAGCAATGTTCTGAGGGGTATGAATTTAATATAAGGTCGTGTGAATCCAATCCGCGGAGGAATCAAATAATGTATAGGGGAAAATCGCCCAATACGTTTTATGAACCTATATTATGCTCGGTGGACGATTGTGTAGGTACACAATCGCGTGGCACACGGGTGCAATCGCGGAAAATGAGTTTTCGTTTCAACTGTATTCGAAACGCTATCAATTTTGCACTATTCTGTTCGTACATGATTGGCGAGCATCCAGCGCAGGTCACGGCACTGATCGATTTTTAATACTTAAACCCTATGTCAATTTCCCTAATGACTATATATCGTACCAGCTGGTGCCCATCTACTAATTTAAATGTATGATCGGAATCATACGTTCCGCGCGGCTAATAAATCAATCTATGTCGTCGGTAATGCATGATCCATTTGCTCACATTTATCTTAATTGCTGTTTGCGCCGCCCAATGACCACATTAGGCTGACGGCTGAAACGATCCGCCCACTCTCGGTTCTATAGAGCGAACTGTCTGACATGTACCGGCTTGACTCGGGCTATTCGGCTGTAATGGCTGATTTTCTAGCTCACGACACGTAGCCTCGGCAAACGGGCGCGCTTACGCCACTCAAAGGCGGGGAAAATGGCTTAAGTGCTTTCTCTATTATGCTTAAGGTCGTTCGTGAAAAGGATAATTTTCAACTCTCCAGCGCCCCCGCCCTAAACGGATGTTGGGATAGTATGGATAAGACTATATTATTTTACACCGAGTAGTTGTAAGTTTTGTTAATGATTTGTATTTTTTTCTCCTTTTTTCCTTTACATTGTCAATAGTTAGGTAGGTAATACATATTGCTCACGGGGGCTTCCCAGTGAAGTGGCGCACACAGAGGTGCGCCGATCCTGAGACGCTCCCACATGGACGTAGGAGGGTACCGGTGAGTTTTAGTGGATAGAACCGGGTTTGTCCCGCGCCGGGTAAGTCCCACATACGGTACGGTCCGTCAAGGGATTTTTCATCGTAAAAAAAAAAGGTAATACATATTGCTGCATAAAATTATTATGAAACGGGGACCGGGAAACAGTGGTAGTTTCGACTGCCCAGATTTCTTTTCAAGAATAAAATTGTTATAATATTGCACATTTTATTATTACAAAAAAATATATTTTTTTGCCATAAAACTACAATAAAGCCTATAACGCTGAAGTACGACGATAAAAGTTCCACAATAAAAACCGCTTAACGTTTTCTTTTTATTTTCTTCATTAATACCTATTCTTAAATAAAAAATAATTATAAAAATAAATATATGTTCACACTTGGCTAACGTGAATTAAGATAATATATTTTTAAGTCGAGCGGCCTATTGTAACGCAAGCAAGGGTCGCGGCGGATAAAGCTTTCAAAACAAACAATAGTTCCGGCCCTTTGTCGCCTCTCGCTAAGTAAACATTAGTAGTTACGCCGCAGAATAACGATGGGACGGGGAAAAGAAAATTTATCACATTTTTACACAGATTTTCTTCTTCTTTCTGTTTTTAAATGTACCTACTTATATAAATAACTGAAGTATGGTCAAGTAATGTATTTTAAATTTGTATATTCGTATTCACCTAATTTGATTTTATACGGTCACATGACGTACTTACATAATATAGTTGATATACCTAGTGATGTAAAATGAAAAAACAACTGTTTTTATCACCATTTTGAAAAAAAAATTGAAAATAACGTGTCTTTTCTAAAATTCTTTTTTTTATGTTTTTTTTTATTTAAAAGTAAATGTTTTATTAAGGTATGTTATGTCTTTCACACATGTTGGTTTAAAAAACTAACATTCTTTAACAAACATAATCCGAACGGGAAATTCGAGGATTTTCCCGTACATCTTGAGTGTTACCAATTGTTGAAAGTTTGGTTGGTAATTTCAAGTGGTAGGTTTTACAATAAACAGAAAACTTTAATATAAACTCGAAGGCAAACATTGAACTTAATAATTAAGCATGTAAGCATTTATCTTTTACGGAAACTTCCTTCATAATTTTGATATCTGTACTCGTGAAAAAAAATGCTCCAGAAAAAAATAAGTCCTTTTAAATTTTTTTTATGTCAATGAAAAAACTGTTTTTTTTGTATCTCTAGACATACCTAGTAAGTCCCTTGATACCAGATTTTTCCGTTAATAAACGATCGCTATAGTCTCTACCTACTTATTATTAAGTCCGTCATGATATTGTCAAATTGTATTTACCAACGGTATTTTT